CAGTATTATGCCATGTTTGGCAACAGGACAAAAAAAAAAAAGAAAAAAAAAAGAAGCTTTTTCATAGTACTGTACAAACAAGAAATAACAAAATGAGGGAAAAATATGAAAATTCTTTGACTTTGATTTCACATGAAAAAGCCTATTTCTTTCTAAAACACTCAGTAGTGTATCAATGAGTAGCTGTTCATAATTCAAATTACTGTACAACATTCAATTATGTAAAAGATGAAATCAAACAGTGAGATTTATGAATGGAACCCTTAGGCACAGCTGTAAAAATCTATAACTTGTAACCCTTAATACAAAACATAAATTATGCAGTACAGTGCAGTATTAAACTTATTATGCATCTTTTGAAAATTATGCAACTGCATACAGTACAAACACAAAACAGAAAAAAGGAATGTGTGGTGCGGACTTGTTACAGTGCATACCATTACATTGGGACAAACTTCACACTGGAGTCTGACATCTTTAAATGGTAGACAATTCATTAAAAGAAATGAGGTTTTGTTAAAGTCCGCTTTCACAGGTAAATTGAAATCTTTCCATTTTGTGCACATGATCAACTAAACCTTAATAAATTTACAGAGCATCATCTAAAAGTTTAGTTGATAGTTCTTTTATTAGACTAGTTTGAATATCTTGAACTAAATCAAGCTTAAAAAAGGGAACTGATAAAGTTCAAATGTCATGCTTGAAGTGTTTGTTTCTTAATTTTTCACAACTACACCTGTACAGCTTCCAGGACGTCAGTCACGTTTTGAAATTACTTAATCAACTATAGGAGGCACAAACCACTATGCTGTTTTCCTATAATTACCCATTTGTTGATAATACTGTAGCTTAAAAAAAAATCACAAAAGTCAGAAAGGTGATACAGTAGATTGTAATTTTCATATTGTAGTCCTGCTGAGAAGTCCTCAAGTGTAGTTGTCTCTTTCACCATAACCTCAAATATCAATAAAACAAGAATACTGTACTACAACCAAAAGGATCTAACCATTCTGCATCACATTCCTGTGAAAAGCGTTTCTTGCAAAACAATCAATGTGGCAAACTCTGATGTATGAGAGTAAATATGAAATTGACATGGAATTATAAATTATGAAACTGATACAATATACCAGTATCAGTACAGTATATGAAAATAATTATGTAGATGGAATTATATAGCATATTTTTGATGTTCCATTAATTACAATGTACTTTTCATCTCATGGTACAGTAATACACAGTAACATGAAGCACCAAATAACAGATATGACATTTCACCCTAACCAATAAATCAATCCCTTAACCCATGTTATAGACAATCACTGCTGCTGTAGATTGTGTGTATGATATTGAATGATTAAGTAATTAATACCAAAATAATGTATGAACTGTAAACTGGAATTAATAATGCATCTGTAAGGGCATAAATCAATACAATGCTGTATTATGCAACTGCGAGAATGTACAATGGTCCAATAAATCATTTCCTCTTCATGAGCATAAGTGGAACATGAATTAACAATAAAACATTCTCAAACCATACTGCAAAGAGATAAAATCCTGATCCTGGATAAATAAAGAAGATTAAATTTTATAGAAATTAAATATTATAAAATGTGAGTTGGTGTTGTATTGTATGTGGTCTGATAAATATAATTACTGTACAAGTTCTTTTGTTTATCCAGTTGGACACTACAATAAATATTGCAGTTTCATTAAATTCATTCTGATAATGATTTCATATTAAAATTCCAGTGAATTCCTACATCAACTCAGGAAAGTGCACCAAATTTATCAGGTACCACTTTGATTAAAAACAAATATAGAACTTGTTCTTGACATAAAAACTAGAAGACTAATTTAACAAAGCACCACACCAATAAGCATAGAAAACTCTGCAAACAGAAATTAAAATTATGTTCAACTCAATGTCAACATAGTCAGCTGGGTATGATTAAAAGTACTGTATTTCCTTCAAAGAACAGTAGACATGTACATGGTAGACCAGAAAGGTAATAACAGAAGTGTTTGCAACTGTATACTGTATATTCATGAACAGAGATATGTGTATATCTGGAAAACATGTGTAGCTGGATATCTGACTCTTACATATATTTGTATATGTGCAAAGACAATTATGTTTTTTTTTTGTAGATGAATGTATGCATATGTGTACCAAACATTACATTATAAACTTGTTACAGATACATGTGATTTTTCAAAGAATATAGAAGAGTTGAAGAAATGCATCACACAGTTAGCTTATCAACAGCTTAGTAAACTCCAGTACAGTATTTACTTCATCCAATGAAATGTTATCTTTTATTGATATGTGCTCTAATGAATATATGCAAAAATAAATCTGAAGAGTAAAACATTTATGCACTGAAGTGACACAAGTCTTCCAAAAGGTAAATTAAAACAATCTATTCAGGAACCCTAAAAAACTTAAATTACCATAACTAAATCCTAAGATTAAGACAAGTGAGCATACTGTAGAGCAATGATCTTCAAGCTTTGATTGGATTTCATCATCCCACTGATGATTTTTTTTATGAATATCGATCCCTATTTATTTTTAGTCTGAGATTCTGTCAAGATTAATTCTGCATAAATTTTCAGTCTAGCATTACAGTACAGTGTAGTTAAAAATACAAGCACCATCTGGGATATATGGAAATGCTTTAATGCATAAGTACTGAAAATGCATTTATAATGACACTAGAAATAATAAATGTGTATTACATACAAGCAACAAAACAGACTAGGGACATATGAAGCTCACAAACAGCACCAACACAGTCTTCAAGATTTTAAAATGCAATCTCAATTGCAAGAAAAACAAATTAATACTGTTAAATAATAACAAAATATCTTTGGTTTACTGAGAGTATATCAATGAAGATCTACAAACAAGTAGTCCCACTTTGTAAACTAGTTTCCATACACCATGAGAAACTTGTTGGCATTTATTTCACTTGATACCAAACACATCAGTCATAGTTATGAGATATGAGGGACTTCATTCCACAGTCAACAGGCTTCCACTTAAGTCCCAGACAATTATCACAGCATTACTTGCTATGTTTGTGGCAAGATAAACAGGTAATTTACATAGGTGTCATAAGCTCAATATTGTAGGTAATAATGACTTGGGTGTCTTGTTACATGGTCACTGCTGTTCAATGTTTTAAAATTCATATACTTTAAGTATTATGTTAAAAGACCCATAAAACTAATTCCCTTTTCTGGTATGGATATAACACAGAAATTGTTTCTATGTACCTTAAATATAATGAAAGATAAAAGACCACATTATGGCAAGTAAATTACTTTGGTTTAGGGGCCACCACTGGTTTTACCTCTTGACTTTTTCTGGACGGTGTTTTTGTAACTGGTTTTGGTTCCTGGACTTCAAATTCTTTTTTCTCAAATTTCTGTTGTAAAGATGCCACATGAGAATTGCTTATTCGACCACTTCGATTGATTGCTGAAATTCCAGTAGGACCTGGTTTGGTCGTTGCTCCAATTGAAGGCTTACTTATTGATGCAGCTGATTTTACAGGTTTCTTTGGTCCAGTTTTTTCAACTTGTTTGTCAGTGGGCTTTGTGCCACTCTTGTTGCCAGATTTTTCTGCAGTTTTATTTCCTGGCTTCTCAGTTAGTTTGTTTCCTGTTTTTAGATCTCCCTTATTTCCAGCTGCAGTTGTTTTCTTGGCTACTGGCTGAGGAGTGGTACTGCGGCTCTTCTCTCCACGACCACTGCCAGTAGAAGATGTGTTCCTTGAGGGTGTTGTACCCCGTGTTGGTGTAGTGCCTCGAGTAGGAGACAGTAAGCGCCCAGGCTTAGAAACTGGTGAAGTTACTTTAGATGTTGGAGATGCACCCCTACCCCTTGCAACACTATTTCCACTAGCAGGTGATGTTATAATTGATTCATTATTAGTAGATAAATTTTTTGATGTTTCTTTGGGGATATTTGCTTCATTTTTTGTGTTTTTTTCTGTAGGTTTAGTCTGTAAAAGAACTTTATCTGGTGGGATCAAAACTTTGTCTGGAGGAAACACTGGTCTATTAGGTCGAGGTACAGATGATATGCTGGTAGTATTTGTTGATGGGTTTGCTTTATGTACAGCTGCTGTTCCTCCAGAAGATGATTTTGGTATCACGGCAGAAGAATTAGCAGTGGTGGTGACTGTAGGTGTTGGGATAGTTACATCTGCTTTTGAAACATTATTTACTGGTTGTCCTGGCATTCCTCTTTCCTTGAAGCTTGATTTAACAGATTCAACTTTATTATTAGTAATATTATTTGTAGTATTTTTTGCTGATTTGGTGCTGCCAGTTGCCATTGATGCTGCTGCTGCCTCCCCTGCTGCTGCTCCTGCTGCTCGAACTGCTGCTAATGATGCAGCTAAAGTCATTGATGTTGGTGTATTGTTGCTAACAGTAGTTCTTGGTGTGGTCGTGGTAAGAGTAGGGGTAGAAGTTGTTAAATTTTTACTTTTCTGTGAATCAAGTATGCTTGAAGAAGATTTAATGGTTGCAGGTGTTACTGTTGGGGTTGTAGAAGTTGTAGTTGGCGTACCTTCTGAAGTCTTTGATTTTCCTGTATTTATATATGAAAAAACCCCTCTTGGCACACTTTTTGATGAAAATTTATGAGCACTTACTTCTGCGGAGCTTGACGTAGGTACCTTATTGGTATTTATATCATCATCTATTGGTGACATTGAAGAAGTAGTACTGGATTTTTTCATTGTATCAGGTACTTTCTTTGATCTCCATGGATATGATGTGCTCTTACTCATACCACCAGTGTTTGGTGCTTTTGAGCCTGTACTAGCATCATTTGTCTTGGAATTTGTTATTTCTTTGTGTACTGCAGCACTGGCCTTGCTATCTTGACTAGTAGGAGATCCTGAGGCAATAATCTTGGTCATCTTCGATCCTTTGTCTCTATTTTTATTTTTGTTTTTTGCTAATGTACTAACAAAGTCAGCATCTCTTGTTGACAATTCTGTAACTATTTCTGACAATAATCCACCGTCTTCGGAACTCCCACAACTTGTTCTCTTACTATCAAGTAAACTAGGAGAGGGAGGACTATGGGATAATGAAGAGTTGCTAGCTTGTGGAGATTCTACATTCTCCCCCTCTATACATCTTACAACTTCACCATCAGGAGGTGATTCTACAAGATTAGTATATACAGGCTCTGCTGCTGTATCATCTTCTGATGAGTTTTTATCCTTAATCATTTTCTTTTTGGGTTTGTTATATAAGAAGGAGAATATAGACTTCTTCTCTTTCTTACTATCAACTGTGTCTGGAGGTGCATATGTAACCTCTTGTAAAGGTATTTCTTTATCTGGAGTTTTGTCATCAATAGTTGCATATATATTTTCTGAGGGTGAAGTATCATCATCCATATCAGCTATTGGAGCACTGCCTTCTTGAATATTTAGACAGTCATCATAGAAACACTCCGACTCAGGTGTCCCTGGGATTGTGGGCAATGGAGGTCTAGGTGGAGGTTCTGAGGGTCTTGTTGGGGGCAAACTCTTAGGTCTAGGCGCACGCATGGAACCAAACTTTGGGATGGTTGGACGAACTGTAACCGGAGTTTCACGCATGCTACCTATTCTCTGTAGTTCCTTGTTGGTATCATTTGTTTCTATAGCGGATGGTGTCCATGTTACTCTCATATTTGACCGTGTGTCTCCTGTGGTTGGAGTCTTGATTTTATCTTCTGGGACGGATGGAGCCCATGATACCTTGCTTGGTTTGCTAATTTCTTCTTGAGCTGCTTTAACCTGGCTTGGTTTTACATTACTGGGCATTGGAGGGTCAGGAGCTGTTCTAACAGGAACTAAGTTTGCAGGAAGCTCTGTAGCATGAAGCTGCATTGGAGCAGAGATTTCTAGCTGCACAAGACTTTCACGTTTGATCTTTGCTGCTTTTCTGGGCAGGGTATTTGAACGTCCTGCTTCAATATCTACTTCATTACTTTCTGGTCCCTGCTTATCTTTTTTGGTAAGAAAAGAAGCAATTCTGGCTACTGTTGACTGTTTATCTCCCTCCTGGCGTTTTATTTCATTGCTTTCATCTTGGTGTTCTCCATGATTACTTGCCTGAGCTATAAGTATGGATGCATCTGGCACCGAAAGGGGTCTGGTTGCCAAATTGGGAGTCTTTCGATAAGGTGTAATAACAGTAACAGGTGGTATGTAAGTGGACTGTGTAGGTTCTACAGGTGGTGGAGGGGGTGGTGGTGCTACTCTGTTGATTACTACAGGCTTGGACAGATGGGGAGCAATTGCTGGGTTGGTAGAGCCTTGTAAACTTGGACCACTGATGCTCATCTTAATCCCAGATCCATCACTTGTTGTGACACTGGGTGCTCCAGTTTGACTTAATTGGTTGTTGGCAAGTTTAATTTGCCATCCATAACCTAAAGGAATGTTGGGGTTTCCATTGGAAGCACTTGTAATTGTCACACTTGAAGGAGTTGTGGGGACACTAGCTGATGATGCAGGTGTGGCAGTCACTGGTGGAGGAGGAAGAGGTGGTGCTGATGGCTTGACAATCTTAGAACCTGGAGGAGATTTCTCTTTTAGAGGAGAAATTGTAAAGCCTTCACCCTTTCCAAAGAAGGCACCAGCAAATGAGTGTGGTTTGTTTGACATAACTCCAGTTGTGATCGACTTTGCATGTCCATTAAGTAATGGGCTGTTACTTTTGGATCCCTGTGATGATGGTGGTGTTGGGGAGCGGGGAGTGGTTACTCCCCCAGGGCTGCTGTTATCTATCTGTCGCCCTATTCCGGCAACTTCCACACAAAGTGAGCCTGGGGGACGATTAGCTCGTTTTCCTGGATCCACATGTGGTAACCTGAAACAAAAAATAAATAAAAATTAGTGTTAAAAAATAAATAAATAAATAAAAACATTAAATGAAAAACTGTTCATGGATATATAAATGTTTGATTTTTTTTCTGTACAATTATTTGTATGTCTAGAATATGTGCGCTGATGCTGGAGAAAGTAAAGTATCTTAATTTTTAGAAATTTTTCCAAGATTTTCTAAGGTTCACCACTAAAGCCGTCTACCGGTAGATCCTTTCCCGCCAAATAAATAAGTACTGTACTCAGGGGCAGATCCAGGGGTTATGGACCCCCCCACCTCCCCCTTTCATCTGAAAATTACAATACTTTTTCTTTAATACATTAATGTACTCAGGCATTTTTGCATAGTATAAAGTAATTACTATTGACTTCAGAATATATCCCATTATCAAGTGCACATGACTTCAAAATGCCCATGACATTGGTCAGATTTAAAAAAAAATTTCGGGGACCTTACAGTGCCCTCCCCAAATCCATGGGTGGTCTCGCTGTACTCTCCATTCCCCCCCCCCCCACCTTGATATTCCTGGATCTTACCCTGGTACTGTACCAGTACTTCCAGAACATTTGTATGCCTGTTTAAACATGTTAAACCAAAACTACTTCATCCATAAACCATCACTGCTTAACCATGAGATGGCTGTAGGGCTGGCAGTCAAAGCTCTTAAAAATTAATATTTAATCCCCTCTTACCTATGATGGCAAGTTTTCTGTTTAGTACAGTACTGTTGTGGAGTGGTGAATTTCTCACAAATTCCTGGTGTAACATATTCAAAGGACTCCGATACATTTACAATAATAAACATTCTCTCCTCATTCTTTTTCTTGAAGGGAGGGGGATGAGGAAATAAAATATATATCCAACCATCCATTTGAGAATCAAACCCAAGGCCATTCATTGTCAAGGAAAAGGTTCTGTTTTTAAGCTGAATTAAGTGGCTACAATAAAATCTGGTGTAGATAGTCTCACTGGTGGACCCTGGACAATCTTGTGTAATTATTCTCCATGATCAGTAAAACAATTTGAATGGACAGGAGTTGTATATGAAATAAAGTAAAAACTTCAAAATTATAGATCAACTTGACAGAATACGTTTAAATTCCGCATCTTTTGTTTTATTGCTCCGAATTTACTGCAAATATAAATACATTTAATTACACTTAACAGTCATTACCAAAAATGTATTTTTATCAAACAATCCTATAATATGACAAGTTAGAGTTCGTTGATATTATCATGCATTAATGTTGTGAAAGCCTTGGGAATATGATGATAATGTACATAAATAGTAATGATTCATTAATTAAACTCTTGTTATGCACTGCATTCATAGGGTTTCCTCTAATGACATCAACACATTAAGATGACCTGAGAGGGCAGTGTTAGTCAATGACACTACCTTAACTATTCTTCCCATACCATGTCTTCATCTTCCTCCACCCCTTCCTACAGTACCACCACCATTATTTATCCTCCTCTCATATCATAATCTTGGCCTTGCCTTCCCCCTTTCACTAACATGACCCTATCCCCGACTTAATGCTCCATCCCCTCCTCTCCTGCCATTGTCCACTGACTGAAAATAGGAACAAATTAAATCTTTAACTAAGTCACCCATGATGCAAACGTGGTTTAATACTGCATATGGGTTCAAAATGATAAATCTTATAACCTCGCTGAACGCATAATGAATTTGAAAAAATAACACAAGCCTTTATAATTGTATTAATTTCAAATTACATGAATGCAGGTTAAAAATGATTACTAAACATTCAAACTAAAAAAAAGAAATTGACCAGAAATTTCTCATCTGAAGAACTAATCTAATTTCTTAGATTAGATATCATTAATGAACCCCAATGACTGTATTGTAATTTTTAACATTGTAATAAAGAAAAATCTTCAGCAAAGGATGAACATAGAGCATCCAGCTTATGTTAAATAGTATTTCTTGACATTTCTTCCTTTCCTGCATTGCATCCAGATTCAACTGTAATCCATGACTTACCACATTCACAAAATGATGTTGGTAGCCATTATTAAAATAGATAATACCTAATCAAAATTTTTTGGTTCATAAATACCTGCTGTAACTGTCCTACAACTTACACACATGTGTATGACTAATAAGTTTTGTATTTGTAACTTGACTTTCTACAGTTATTAATATTCACTTCAATAGGATCCCTGCACACCAGTACTGTAATAACTTCCTGGTGCTCTTTATTTATACAGACAGTATACTGTATCTAGTGCTGTTTAGTACCAGCATACTGTACTGTACTGTGGTCTTACAGATTATTCCTAAATTATTTTAGTTTTTATCTCCACTTCTTGGGAATGCTGAAGATGTAACAGCATAAAATAAATAAGTAAATTAATATTATAAAATATTTTGTTACTTAATTTGTGGGCAGTCTTTCAGGGAAACCTAGACCCTAAAAGCTTCCCAAAGTCAATACATCTACTCTGCATTTTGTATGGATTATTTAATTATTCACAGAATATATGTTATGTACCTTGTATAAACTAAGTATTGATATATATGGAGCACAATATTTACTAAACACTGCATGACTATATCAACACTCTCATTGTGGAAAGAAATTTATGAGCACAGTAGTATATTTTTTACTACCGTTTATTTATTTTTAAAATTTAAAGGTTCTTATAAAGATTTTATTTTGTAATTTTAACGAAAATAAGTATCTTTAATATTCATTTCAGGAATCTAATGTGAATGGATGATGTGTGGTGTACAGTATAAGATTTGCACTCAGAACTACAGTACAGTACAGTACAGTACAGTACAGTACAGTACAGTACTACAGTCAGTGATAAATCCTTCAAGGTAGAATGTTAGGTGTTCACTCTGTGTGCACATGCACATACTGTACAGTGAAAGTGGTTCCCATAATTCTGAAAGCCCATTAAGGACAGTGCAAATGTAGCACAGTGAAGACTAAGCCTTGATATACAAGGAGGCACTGTTCTCAACCACTTTCAATTCCCTAACTGCAACATCAGGTGGCCAGTCTCAGCTGGGTCAACAGGGAACACCCTACTCAGTGGCCATCTACCAAGTGCTAATCAGCAGCCACTGGGTCAGAAGGTGAGTGCAGTTGCACCCACTTGGCTGCTGTGTCTCATGCACATTAAGTTAATTATATTAATTCCTCTTCCAAATGTGTATAAATTTTGAGGATATCTCGTGCACAACACACGTGCATGCATGTGTGATAGACTCTGTGCACCTGTGCAATTATATTTAATGAAACTGATTATAGTTATATACAGTACAGTAGTACAGTATATAATAACAAAGGTATCAATTAAGGGCAACACAAAATGAATTTATATGAGACAATTCCTGAAATAAACTGACAAACAACGATTTATCAGTGAAGAATTTAATGGAGGGGAAAAGTGCAGTCAGCTTGTGCAACTAATTCACACATAAAAATCCCGTACCAGGGTAATACATTGCTTAGAAATAAAATGGTTTCATAAAAGCAACTTTCATTGATGTTTGAGAAAGTCCTGCAATAGAAAGAAAGAATAAAAAAAACTGCTTGCAAATCACAGCATTAACCAAATCCAAAGTACTTCTATGAATAAGGCTATGAGGGCCTAATTTCATAAGCGCCACCCCATTCAAGAATGTTTGTTTTTTTATCATATTTGTCTTCCCACACCTATTGCCTCTTGATTCCAAGGCCGGGGGAGCATGAAGCAAGGGATTGTCATACATAAGTTCACGATGCTGGAGAGGGGTATGCTATTATTCCTCTCCCCTGCCTGCTGAGGTGCTCCAGCAGTAGAGTGTGTGGTGGTGAATGACATCTAGGGAACTGTGACTATGTGATCCTGTGTGTGTGTGTACATTATTTTGCATGAAATAATTTTTGTTTGTATTTTCATATCTTTATTTCCAACACACACACACAAAGTTTTTGCCAGAAAATGCAGTTAAGGTGATTATTATGGTGGTTACTATAATCTCTGACGTTTTCAGTAATAATAATGATTAGTTAAGATGTACAGACAGCCAAAGGTGCTCTTGTACTCGCAATTTTACCTGGCAACACTTGAAATAAAGCTGCATGTAGTGGAGATAGTGATTGGTAGATCTATTATTTGCTGTATCACTGTCAGAATTAATATTTAACACTCCAAAGGAAGCATTTTTATAATAATAACTACTCATCATTATTTCAGATCAGGACAAGGTTCCAAATGTTTGTGCATTTGCTTAAATATTGAAGAAAATTATATTAATGAATTGGCAATGCAACTACAACTAGGGCTGCCACAAGATTCTCACGTCAAATTTCAAGAATACATTAAATCTTGAGTGTTTCATGAGGGAATTAAATGTCTTTACAATGTGATCATTATATAATATAATTTTACGTAATTTATAGGGCAGACAATGTGTAATAGACTCATCCTTCCTTGTTGCCTGGGTGCCAGATTGCTGGCTAGGTAGAGGCTGACCCATTTCCTGGCCACCAAGATTGCCTGACCTTACCCAGTTTGATTTTTTCTTTGGGGTTATATGAGATCCAAAGTGTAGTCTACAAAGCTACAGGACATTGTTCACCTTAAAGAGCGCATCACTGTGACAGTGGCCTCTGTAGCCCCCAAGTAATAATAGAAAAAAGTAAAAACCCTATAACTTAGCACATATAGACCTCAGCCCCATATGTGCTAAGTTAATAAGTTACAGGGTTTTACTATTTTCTATTATTTCTGATTTACATACCTACGTAGACAGATGAATAAATCTTACTTGAAATTTATGTTAACCAGCTACAATAAGTCTAGATCAACTCTACAAACACTTTACAGTTATCACTGCTGAATTTTAGAAAACAGAATCGGTATTTGGAACAAAAATAAGCCTTTCAGACAAAGCCTCACTTGACCACAATACCCAGCACATCAACTGTTGTATCTTAAGAGAGGTTTTTGCTGTACAGTACAGTACATCCTAGGATACTAAGGCATTTAAAGGTTAAATCTAAAGTGAATCAAATTACAAAAATATTTTCAGGAAGTAATGACGAGCCTTAATAAGTATCATTTCAAAATCCAATGTACTAAATTATCTATATTATAGGCATTTGTGTACTGTATTTAATCTACAGTGATCTGGTTCAGGCAGTGTCAAGATGCTTTCCACAAACACAATTCCCGTTAAAGATATAAAATAACAGTAAGTTCTCAAAATTGCCACAAATTGTTGTTATATCCTTATTTTTGTCTCAACATAACACTTAGGCCCCGATGACGTTCCAGAATGTCCGCCTATTTTTCCGCCATTTTTTTTTGTTATTTTTTTTTTTTTTTTTTAGTATTTTTTTGTTCTCGATTTATCCCCGCACACGGAGGGGGGGTTACAGCCAACAGCACCCTATCCCGGTGTAATGGCCCCTGTCTCATCAACAGAAGTATTATATAAATGGGTTCATTACATTTGATTTATATACTGATTCACCCCTGTAACTTTCCACTGGCTATGAGTTGTCATGCTCTTATCACATGATTGGTAGCCTCCTTGGGGTGCGGCCACTGACTGCATAGGCCAGCACATGGGTCAGCTTAGATAAGCAGGCACCCACGGGCAGTCACGCTCATAATCTCACATCGAAAGGACGTGATTAAACGGTCTATTTACATAGCCGCCGTCCTCTCTCTTCACACTCATAAATAGTGGAAGTTACGGTTGATTTACACTCAGGAATTGTATCAACAGCAGTTTCTTAATAAAAGGAAGAAACAGACAATTGGGTTTTGCTACTCTAACCCAATATAATATAAATGTACCAGCCTGGTTAACTTCGATAGAACCTATAATTAACCAGCTAGAACACCGGGATTTAAGGGTTAATATTTGGAAATCATTAGGACAGATATTGTTAAATAACTGTTAGACCTTCAAAATTCATCATCTTCTTGTAAACTTAATATGAACACCATTTTATCTCGAGCATGCATAAGGTAACTAATTTACTATTTGACTGTGTGCCAAGTCAGCCTTTTCTTTGGTTTTCATGTCAACTGTACAGGTGGTTGACCACTGTCACTCTTAGCTTGGGATGAAGTACATGAGTTGGTTGACTTAGCCTTTATTTCACCATAGGATTTCTGAACGTCAACTGAAGTTGTCCCATCTTCTACCTTTGTTTTTCTCTTTAGTCTGTGTTAAATAATTGAAATCTGTTAAAAACTAAATGAAAAAAATAAAAATAAAATAAACATCCCTAGTAGCTACTGTGAAAATAACAGATGAAGCCAAGAATAAAGTCACAATGCATTAGTCAAGATGAAATATTGAAATTTTACAGTACTACAGTACATTATTTTGGGGGGGGGGAATTATCCCACCCGGGCACAGGTCATCGACCCACAACGGGGCCTAAGGGGAGAAAAAATAAGAGTAAAAAGAAATTAAAAATAGAAAAGAAAAAGATTATATTAACCTTCAGGACATATTCAATTAACTCCAACATGATGACCAGAAGGGTGTTGCAGTTTAATGATTTTTGTTCCAGGTATTGTAACACACACAACGGTTTTCAACATACTTTCAAAGAGTAACTTAAAAGAGGCAACTGTACTACATTTTTAGGTAACTGAAAATAATGAGTAATATCTAATCTGTTTTCTGTATTATTAATCATCTTTAATATCTAGTAAATTATCCCGATATATATATATATATATATATATATATATATATATATATATATATATATATATATATATATATATATATATATATATATATATATATATATATATATATATATATATATATATATATATATATATATATATATATATATATATATATATATATATATATATATATATATATATATATATATATATATATATATATATATATATATATATATATATATATATATATATATATATATATATATATATATATATATATATATATATATATATATATATATATATATATATATATATATATATATATATATATATATATATATATATATATATATATATATATATATATATATATATATATACATGATGAAAAACGTAGTACAGCTCCTCCCCGACTTATGACGGGGTTAGGGACCCAAATCCAGGTCGTAAGTCGAAAATGCTTAAATAAATACATAGAAAATCTAAAATGGGTCTCCTTTTCTTCTCAGCACCACAAAACTCTCACTTTTAAGCTTGCTAGCCATTTTAAATTGAATTACAAACGAAAATTTTGTCAGTACCGTACACAGCGCATTCATTAATGTAGGGACTCGAAAATACGTAATTTGACAAAATTTTGGTACGACTGAGACGGTCATATGTCCGGGTGGTCGTAAGTCGAGTAGGTCGTAAGTCGAGGAGTAGCTGTATCACATTTTGCATGAAATATTTCAAGAAAAGAAATACCCGTATTACATACTTGGAAGTAGCAGGTCTGCCTTTTGTCTTCCACCAGAGCCTGAGGTTGCCCCGGGCATAATACACCAGACAGAACACCATCACCACTACAGGCACGATTCCCAGGAAGAACACAAACATCCCCACAACAAATGTGTTCGTTGCTGAAAAGAAAGTTATTTAAGGAACCACTTTTTTATTGTTACGGGATTGCTTTCACTCATGCTAAGAATGTGTTTCTTTTGCTTTACTCAAACAACAGCAGCAGCAACACTTACTGAATATGGGCTTACATTCTTAAAGTTTTATATAAGAACTAGAGACACGAATATTGCAGTCTAAATGACATAAAAAAGTAATCTGATACTGTAGTATTACAATAATAATTCTCTTTATTCTTAATTGTGGGAGAAAATCATGGAATGAATCTGAGGACCTGGATCTTTGCTACACATTCTTGAACTTTATTTACCATGTGGGTTTGATGCAGGCCCACTGTCTTCAGAGCCTCCCAAACCAGGATAGAGGCAATCTGGTGGTGCAAACCCCACAGCACAATGACAGTGACCATTGTTGTTACACACTCCATTGCCATGACAGTCACAGGTGGACATCTTCAGGGCAGCCACTGGCATACATCGTTGGTTAATACACATCTGGCATGTGGAGGAGAAAAAAATAGCCCAGTAAGTTGTGACTGACATTAATAATCCTCCAAACAAACATTTTACAAAACCTGATTAGATAATTAAAATTAGAAAAAGTGATATAGAACCTTAGGTCAATAAAAATTTTCAGATGATGAAGGGATTGTTCGTTATAGAGATGTCATATTTTATTGGAGACTTAAGAAGGTAAAGAGTGCAAGAGTTTAGCTATAGTGTAGATGCATACAAATTTAATAAAGGTCAGTCATACTCTACTTTACCATGGACCCACCTTGCCTCGACCACACTTAGCTCCATCTGGAGCTAGACCAGGATCCACCATATCTAGACCCATATCTACTAGGGCTACACGACATGGGATAACACCTTTCTTACTCTTGAGGAAACTGTGAGACACCTTGCTTACGCTCTCCATTCCAAATTCCAGCCGTTCATTCAGGTGCATACAATGCAGCATCCCACATTTAACGTCACTTTTGGGTAGTAAAGAACAGATGATAATTCATTAGAGCAATAAACAAAGAGATTAAATTATATTTATAAAATAATAAAAGAGCAACTAATAAATTTTATTTTGAGTAATAATCTTGTCAGCAGGAAAAACTTACCCATTGCTGCATTTATAGTAAGTATCATTAACCCAGTTGTATCCACAGTTTCCATTATGGCTGCCCTGTGTGTTCATCATGTAACAACGATCATCAGAGCTCTGGCCAGTGGGACCCCAAAGAAGTTTACATTGTTCGCCATGTGTGCGACACATACCAGAGTGACAGAAGGCCTGTAATAAATATGAATCTTGAGTATGTTATTCAAGATATAAATTATCAAGCTACAATAATTATACAGGAGTAATTATTAATCATGAAAAGTTTACCAAAAGCAAATTACTAAAAATTAAATAAGATAAAAAAAAATGATAGGGAATTAAACATAGCACAACATGGTTAAACAGAAAACTCAGTGTGAAAAGGCAGACTGTAGCCTGTGTCAGAATTAAGTATCTGTACAGTAAGATCTTGTATTTCACGAGTAATATAGACTGAAGAAATTGCGCCAAATTCAAATTCGCCAAATGCAAATACATAAACTAATGGGAAAAATAACAATATAGACTGGCCACTCTACATCAACCTCTGATTTTCCCATTTATAACCTCCAAATGATACAAATTCTGCCTTTATTGACCTGATTGTGCTTTCCGGAAACTAGTTTGTAGGCCTTCCTCAAGTAACTTAATCACACGCTGCTTATCCTGCATCGAGTACTTGGTAAACTTAACTCCCTTATGATAGTCCCGCTTCTCCTTTTCCTTATTTGGCCGCTTAGGTGGGTCTGTCCCACTCCCACCAGCACCAGTAGGACCCCCAGTAGAGGTAGAGGCCATTATCTTGACTCGACAAGTGGTAGCACCACCCAAAAATGCACACAATAACAGCCCGGGCGGTCGCTAGGATGGTTCGGCTACAACGCGATAGTTGCGTTCTTGTAAACCTCTTTTACGTTCACCACCGGCAATTTGATCACCAGAACGCTTCTTGGAAAAATTTTTCTTACCTTGTCTTTCCATATTCATCGCTAACACAACAAAATTGAAGAAAACAGCAAAACTCACGGAGTAATCGACAGAAACCGCGCGATTCAACTAATCACGTGACGTAAACAGAGAGCGCTGGTGTAAACCGTTATAGTCCTCACTGTGAAACATTCTTTTTACTTATTCTTTTCGTACAGTATTTATGGGTAACAGTTATATTTGCAAAAAAAAAAAATATTAAAATAACAGAGTACCTCTCAAAAAACACTTCACAAACAAAAGACACGAATCAATTGAACATGTGATGTCGAACATAAACTGTAAACATTGCATAACCCCGTGCCGCGCTTAAAACGTTGAAGATGGAATTAAAACATTGAGGATGGAATCGCACTATAGCCAACATTCATTTGCAAAAATTTGCGTTTTACAAACAGCGTTTCCCTATTCATCAATCGCGTTACAACCAATTCACATTGACAAAACACGCGTTGTAGCAGAAATGACTAACTGGTATGAGGGCTGTGACATCATTCAAGATGGTGGCCAGCATTCAGCTGGCTGGTTGGATCTCGCGAAACTCACAATATTTTACGCCAAATATAAGACTTGGTTACATTAGGTAGTGCTCGCGAAATTAAAAAACGCAAAATGAAATCGCGCGAAAGATCAAAGGTATGGAAGATGGAAGGGCACACACTTGTATGTCAGTACTGAAAATGATGCTGAGATGGGCAACACCTATGCCTCTGTGGAGACTACAGACATTATGTATACAGTAGCAGGAAGCAGCATATTACATATTTCTTTTGAGATATTTTGAATAAAGAAATTAACAACTAGCTTCATCCTGTCACATAATCAGAAACCTTAAGCAAAATAAAGATGTGAATGTGGTATAAGAATTTCTGTAAGAAAAACAAGCACACAAGAAGAACTTGAAGCATTCACGTGATTTTGTATTTCAGTATCAAATGAAATGTGCAATACAGCACCTACAGTACAGGAGTAAGAATGTTTGAAACTAACCTGCAGTAAGTGGTAAAAGGTCAATAAGGGTAAAAATATAATAACAATACTTGTACAAACCTTTCCTTTTAAGCATTCATGACCATCAGACTTAAACACATCTTCTGGGCAGTATTCTGAGTCCCCGGTACAGTACTCGGGAAGATCACACTCGTGGACGGATGGACGGCATGGCACACCAGCTAACCTTGGTCGACAAGTCTAAGACAGACAAAGTCCATGTAACAGTTTGATTATAAATCCTTTTCATTTATATTTAAATTTCTGGTGAAATTAAATGCTTATTTTACTGAAAATTGATTAAATGATGACAAAAATTCATTCCGAATAAGGACATGTAAAATGTAGGAAACATTACAGAAGTGAAGTAATAAATACATAATTACAGGGATCCTATATGTTTCAACAGTCAGGTAAAACTGCATTGAGAATAATTAACTTTGGCTCTGGGCAACTCACTCTCCTCTTTCCATCTCACACCCATGTGCACACTCACTCTCCCTCTTTTTGTTTTTTCATGACTAACCTTTAAGTCACAGCAGTGTCCTGTAGCGCATGTAGCATTGGAGTAAAGCATACAAGTTGAGGCATTGCAGCAGGCGTTGGTGCAGTAATCTGGCAGTCCACAGTCACATTGCTCCCCAGGTTCTACAAAACCATTGCCACACACCGGTGAGTCAAACAGACTAGTCGGCTTATTCCTTAGGCAATAATCCATAGAACGCTCAAAGGACAGAGCCAAATACTCATAACTGCAACTGCTCCAGTGAGTTGGACTCTTTGAGCTGAAAGTAAAGTTCATTTGGAAATCTTTTTACCACATGTAGGTTATGTTAATTTTGATTGTCATAAAATTAGTTTGGGCCCAAAGTTTGTCTACTCGTCATCTTATAAGAGGGCTAATGAACGGGTTACTGTACTGGATATTTTTTCATGCCAAAAGTGAAGGGGCATGTCCCCCTCCCCCTTTTTCTCCTATATCTATGGATATTAGTAACCCTGCATTTATTTTCAGTTAAACTTTACATAAAGACAAAGAGGCACTTAACCCCAAAGTTGTAAATACTGAGACGAGTTATGATTTCCAGTGAAGCTGAAAGAGACAATGTTAGAATTCTTGGAGTATGTTTATGAAAAAAAAAATGCTATTTAAAACAGAAACATGGGTTATTGGCAATGGTGGAAAAATATTGGAAGTGCATTTACCATACATATTACTTATTCAAATACAGTACTGTACATTAAACAGTAGGCGGCTGTGTTTTACTTGAATTTTGAAAGAAAGAATATGACTTGTAGCACTGTAATATACAAGGTGGCCCATAGGTCAAAGCCAGATAGTATTTGGGCAGTTGGACAACAATTTATACATCTAATGCATTATTTACTCATTATTCGTACAAGATTTTTACTTTTTACAATATTAACTCTGTCACACCTAACTTCTGGGCCAGCTTGCATACTGTACTGGTATAAGTATGATACTGTATAACAATAAAATAGAAGAATGGGTAGGTTAATTAAAACAGGTGATATAGTTTTTTTAAGTACAGTAATGTTTGTGTAAGTAGAAGTGTAGAGAAAGTAAGAAGCTAAAGGAAATCAAACAGGGACAGGATATTTTAAAGCAAGTGGTTGATAAAACTAAAGATAATACAGTATACAAAATTGTAAGGAATGAATACCAATATGGAGAAAACAATAAATAAAAGTTTATTTGAATGAATTGCTCTTACACTGAGTTAGACTAAGAGTAAGAGTGGAAGAGGGAGAAAAACATACAGCACTGTACTGTATATGTAAAAGAAGGGTGTCCCAATGAATGATTCAGAAGAAATAAGTTGAGCTTATGGTGCATGGAAGAAATTTTACACACTCTACCACCCAACTGTACAGTGTGAATTTGATGAACTTACCCTGAGGATGGAGCCATGATGCATCGCTTATCGAGGCATTCGCACTCTTCTTCATTGTCATGTTCCATCCCAAAGTTGTGTCCCATTTCATGAGCTACTGTAGTGGCCACCAACCCCACTGTATCACTGTGATCCATGTTCACTCCCCCAGAATATTGATAAGTACATATTGGACCTTTTAAAGCCTTACCTACTACCCCAGCATCGAACTGCTTTCCCCTGAAAAAGATATTTATTAAGGTAATAACATTAAACCAAAAATTATGAAGATTAATATATATATATTTTTGGGGAGTTCACCTAATAACTAATACATAAATTGGGTGGAGAAAAATAAAATTAATACTTCCACATACTTCAAGGTGACAGCACCTTTGAGAGTCGAAGATCATCAAACCCTGATGTTAGAGACTCAAACTTAATAAAGGGACTTGTAATGGGCAAAACCTCCACCTAAATAATATATTTACCATAAATTATAATGCTACAAATATTTTGGTACAATACAGTTCCATTTATTTCCTCTTAAGCAGAATAAAATTATAATGGTTGAACTTCGTGTTTGAGGACAGCCGGTCCTTGGGCCACCTAAGCATGAATTTGTTAAAGGTGTAGAAGCTGTCACCAACACAACGACAACACCCAAAGTTAATGAGCTGTATGACGAATAATCCAAGAAAACCAGACAACTTGCCAACTGCTCTGGCAAACCATTACCCTGGAACATGATCGACAAATCAATCAACATCCAGGTTCCCAATTACTGTTGGGTAGACAAAGGCAAAGCATAAAGAAACTTGCCCATAGGCTGGATTATACAATCACTCACAACACTATAAAACCATCACAATATCTTTGCAGTAATCTCCCCATTAATTGGAACAACTAGTGTAGAGCATTTCCAAGTTTGAGAGATTTCCAGGTATTGAGACAAATCCTCTTATCCTCAGAAAAATCGTACTTCTACAGAATTATTCCAGGTATTGGTGAATGTTTCTGCATCTAAACTATTGTACTCATCTGGCATGGAGCACCATTGCTACAGAGGCTTAACTGCACTCAGACAGACACAGAGTGGTATTTGTTTTTACAAACACTACTGTACAAGTACAGTACTGTGCAGTAAACTTCCTTAACCTAGACTTGCTTAGTCCGGATTCTCTTGCAAAACAGATTGGGGACCAGCACCGAACGCATGTATCCCCAACCTGGAAAAACATGACCAAAATCTGGTTAGTACAGGGGAAAGTTTGTATACGAGAGGTCTGCCACTGTGGTAGAAGAGAAGGGTAACTTAGCAGCTGCCTCTGGAGGTGGTTGCTGAGAAGCACTGAAGTGAAGTTTCTAAGAAATGTAAATAGTGTACAGTACATGCAGCCAATGAAATTTGTAGTGAAAACATAGCCTCCGCTCCACCTTCTGTGGCATACACGGTGAGTGCCATATAATTACTTCCTGCCACAACCACCTACTCACCTCAATACTCAATGGCCTCATGATAAGTGAATAATTAATAAGTACAGTACCGTACTATATTATTACCATGTACTATGTGCTATACTGTACTGTACGAGTATTTTTTATCAACAGGTATATTATAGTGCAGTAATAATGTATACCATATGAAACACTCTTCTACTTTGTACCATTCTCTTATCACTCTCCCATTATATTAGGCTGTGGCCACAAACAAAAATATTTACAGCTCGCAAAAATGAGTATAAACTTTTATCCACAGAAAGATGAGATATGGTGGGGTACATTTCAGTGTATGTGTCACTACAGAGTACTAAGCACCTCAAGTTGACAGACTCTTACAATGCATATCTCCTGAATTGTTGATTTGTAGAATCAACTTTCCTTCAGAACCATTAGCAATTTGAATCTAATTCAAGGTACCTACAAAAACCCAGTTTTGAGTGTTCTTGACTGTCTGTGATCTCAAATCATCTCATGCTTTTAATCTGCAGTAATACTAAATGATTTCAATTACTTGCCGGAGGTTCAGTTCCTCCCCAACCTCTAAGGGAAACTGAGAGTCTATCATAACATTCACCAATACAGTAGTGTTCTTTTACTGTCTGAAAATGCCATAATAAAGAATACAGTAGTATTAATATTTGTATTAAATTTCCCTATTTATCAGGTTAAAGGCAATAATAATTTACTTACGTGAGTAACTGAGCGTTGTCATTCGGATGTTCTGTAATAAGTCTTACTTTTCTATAATTTAAAAAGTTTGTCAATGTCTTGTCCCCATCGGTTGATATTTCTACTTGATCTTCATCTTTCCACACTTCCACACCAACAAGTGCAATAAAAATGTTGAGAGGTTGATATAGCTGTAAAAAACATAAGAACTTGTAAATAAAGTTAACCATAGGGACAAAATTATTAAACTGTCACTGAATAACATAAAATGGATGAGAATCACAATGAAGAAAAATGTAATAATTTCAATGATTGTTAAAATTTTTAAAATGCACATGGGGTTACATCAGAGTAACGTTTTTGGCTATTCACACAACAATATTTACCTTTCCCCACTTAAACTGTACAGTACTGAAATTTAGATAATACAATACCTTTACTCAAAAAAATACTTTATTGAGCAGACATAATTACAGTACTTTGTCAAGTCTATCATAGTTTGTATTAATTCTGTAATGTTAAAACAAATAGTCTATGCATGCATTAATAACCTGAATCTTTAAATACAGGGCACTGTATAAAAAAATATACAGTTATAGCACAAAAACTGTTACTGTACAACATACAGCATTCACTATGTTGGCAATGTCTTTGCAACGTTGATATAATTTTGCCACTTCATGGCCGTGTTTTTCATATTCTGTTTTGTCAGCTACCAGCACCAATTCCACATATCTTGATAGTGGATTTGCATTGAATGGACCACGAATATTGTTGCTGCTGCTGCTGCTGCCGCTGCTGCTGCTGCTGCTGCTGCTGCTACTGCTGCTGCTACTACTGCTGCTGCGCTTATACTGAAAAGAGAATTAATAAAAAAAATGTAGAGTTGAAATGGTAATGGGGAGCAAGTTCTGTAAAACTATTCAAGTTATCAAACTTTGTAATGTATGTGTTGTATGGGCGAGAGACCCGCTGTCACCTATTTTAAGAGATCTACTTCCTATAATACTTTACTTTCTTTCTCTGTCCCACTACTTAAACAACTACTGTACTGTCTGACTTAACATCTGACCTGTGGTAGCATGACTCGAGGGTAAAGCTCGAGGGTAAATGTAATAATGGTACTAAGATATAGGGAGAAATAAAGGTGGGCACCGTAGGAAAATAATACCCCTAACACACAAAAAATGGTTTATTAAAATAATGCTAGACTTGTGACTACTTCCAGTAACACACTAGTGCAAATATCAACTCCGTGTCAACTAACTGTAAGCCACGTAGTAATATACAATCATTAAGGCAGTGTCATAAAATACCTAAAATCTAAATTTTCCTAAAGTTAATAAAGAAATGAGCATTTGGCAACATTACATGTCCTTAATTCTGAAACAGAAAGACCTCATATACAAGTATGCATTTCAATACCAAGATCAAGAGTAACTTACACATTTTAATAAAACTGTTCATGAGAAATGAAGTGGAACATGAAGCTACTGTACTTACTCTGAGCAATCTAGTGAATGTCTCATCATGAAACAGGTCCCGAACTGGGTGAGGTTTCCCTGAGTAGCCTGGGGAAGAGTATTGAATATATACGCTGTACACTCCATTATATTGTACAGTACAGTAGTTTGTTATATAATACAAAAAAGAAAAACCTTCAGTAAATAAACGGGGCAAAATCTGAGCAAATACGTACATACATACATTCAAAGCAGAATATAAAAATCATAAACAGGGTAGCTTATTAACTGACCACATCGACTCTCGGAATATCTTAAAACAATGTATAATATTGTATGTATAAAAAATTCTGACAATATGATTTTCTTTAATAGTTTCAATTTAAGAAAAAGACTGATATTTACCGCACGAAAAGTTCTGCGGGATGATATTGGAGTGCTTGAAGACATAATGTGGACTGTCTATGGCTGCGGGCGTCTCTGGTACCCGCTCTAAATAATGCATTTCTTGACCATCGAACACAACACCACTGATGAAAAAATAAAAATAAATTACAGTACAGTATATGTCTAGCAAAGAAAGATGCTCTATACTGATGTCATTCTTATTAGGAGTTAACCTAACAGGTATATCACTAGGTAGTAATACCTCTGTTTGCCAGAATCTCTCAAATCAGGAACTCTGATAGTTTGAATTGAAATTTTCTCGGAAAATTGTTCCCAAAGCCGGAATTTTCCGGAAAATTCCGGCTTTGGGATCAAATTTACGAGGGGCACATTATCTGGAAAATTCTGAGAAAACTTTCCCAGTACCCGAAAAAATTTTGGGATGGAGGATATTTTTCAGGGTTCGAAAGATGATGTACAGTACAGTGGTCCCTCGGTTAACGAACGGATCGATTAACGAAATTTCGGTTAACGAATTAGCTCCCATAAGGACTTTCAAATCGATCAACGAACAAAACTTCGATTAACGAAATCCTTACAACAAACACGTTTTGTTGTGCGCATCAGCTGATCGGCTCGTCCGCCAATACAGTAATTGGTTCTATGTTTACATTCGTTTCCAGTGAAGTAAATATCAAGTAGGTTGTGCTCTATAATATTTTTGCATTTTTTATATTAAAATTATTAGTAATTTTAAAATTTAGTTAACATACAGTATTGATAATATATGCAGTACAGGGAAACATTGTGTTTATTGGTCTCTTGAATACAGAATATTTTTACATTTTTACATTAAATTATTGGTCATTCTGAAATTTAGTTGACATATTGATAATATACAGTACAGTGCAGTGTTGATTTAAATAAAATAATCTTTAATTACAGCTAGTGAACTTAAAATTTTATTGGTAAAATTACTGCATCAAGCATGGGTGAGAAAGATAATTCCCCTCAGTGTTCCTCTACAAAAAGGAGCAAGGATTTTCATGTTAGAGAATCTGTCAGTCCAGAGGTTCCCGACATTATTATGGAAGGTGACTCGCCTTCCAAGAAGCATTAAAATGCTTCTCTTTTCCCATCTCCTCCACCCCCACTTCCTTCTCTTCTCCCTTCTCCTCCGCCCCCACTTCTAATTCCCATCATCATCATCATCAACCAGCAACATTCTACATACGGTACACACCTCAAAGTAAGTGTACTTTACTGCATTTTGTTTATACTTTGTATGTACTTTTCTGTGAGTTGGAACCAATTATTCAATATACCATTGAAATAAAAGATATGGTTAACGAACGACTCTGTGGAACGAATTGTGTTTGTTAACATAGGGACCACTGTACTGCGCAATTTCTGGAACTTCTGAGAACATTTTTCCTCTACCCAGAAAATTCCAGGGATGAGGGATTTTTTTTCAGACTTTGAGAGATGAAATAATGCATCATTCTGGAACTTCCATGAACATTTTTCCTCTACCCAGAAAATTCCGAGGATGAGGGATTTTTATCCGGCTTTGAGAATCATCCCGTTTCCCGGAAATCTCTCATTCCCGGAAGTGCTCTGCACCAATTGCTCTGGCTAAGTAAGTACAATACCTGTACAACATATTCTATAAATGATTTATTACTAGACAAATCTTATTTATATAATTATCACTGCAAATTGAAAAATAAAAGTACTGTACTGTATACATACAGTATAAATACTGTATTGTAATTGCTCATCTAGTACCTGTATACTGAATAGCAGAACAATAGAAATAATGTAAGAAATTTAGTTCAGGAGTTATAAATACTGTATATGTTGCATTTACTTTAGGTTATATTTATTTAAAGTATTATGGAATAGTTATCAGAATTGCAAACAATTACTCCTGATTTAAATAATAGTCTTGCGCGAGTCTACATTCCTTTGTCTGCGCGCACATCCTACCAGCTACTGTTGAATGTCAAATTACCTGCCATCATCAGTTCCTTAACGATCCTGACCAGAGAAACACAATACTCACCACTTTCAGTAAAAATCGACGATCATAGAAGGGCTCACCAACTAAGGTCCACCATTAATTCCTGACCTCCATCCACATCAGGAAACCTTGAGTATCAATTTATATTGTAGGATATCCTAACTTTATATTTTGTATGTAATCTAAACTCAGACATTGCCACTTAAGGTAATCACCCATTTTGAGTGTTTACTCAATTCATATAATGTAATAGTATAAATATTTCTTGTCCTGATATCAACCAATTCAGGACAATTACCTATTTTTCATCTTTTATGTAACGTGTAGGTTCACCTTTTCCCCCACACCCTCTTTACAAGAATTTGTGACCCTCCCACACCCCCAAACACCCCATTTCCCCTCTTACCCTTCCACATTCCACAACCCACACTCAATTTACTTATCACTTGACCTTGGGACCACCTCACCCCTCACATGATCTTTTACCCATTACACTACTGTAGCCACCTATGAGAGATTAGGTGAGTGCATTTTATGTGTGTTTATTGCACCATGAAGCCACATGAAGGTCCTGTAAGAGACTTGCATAAATTACACATAACAGAAGCCAGAGTCTGTGACCCTCCCAAATAGGATCCGACACACTTTACACCATTTCCCACAGGTTGTGAGGTGACATCCCCACGTGAGAACTGTTGCCTTAGCCTGGGCACTGATGTGGCTAGTGGCCAACTCAACACACACCACAGTAGAGTAACACTGTCCAGTACAAACCCTGCCTGGCACAGGAATGAACCCATGACTCATAGGATGGGAGTCCAGAATGCTACCCACTACACTGCATAGAGGAAGAAATCTTTTAAACTGTAAAATGAGCTTTATACAAATCAATGACTAACCTGATGCCATGGCAGGTGGACAGAGCTGCCCATGACCCTGGACGACCTCGTATGACTCCCTGATAATGACACATGCCAGACCTCTGCAACAAATTTTAAAATCAAGTTTTTTCTCTATGTGAACCTGTGATGTTTATCAATTTTATCATCATCAATACTGTATAAGTAATAATTTTTATATACAGTATAGGTACTGTTTAAGTACAGGTATTTACTATAGCAAAATATATTCAGTCAAAAAAGTAAAATGTGAATTATACTAATCTTTGGGACAAAATTTTCTGGGAATGCTTTTAATTCATGCCACAGCAACTAATACAGTTTGACAATTATAGCAATTCCTGAAGAGGAACTCTGCAAAGCAATATTTGGATATTCAAGTCAGAAATAATCTCAGAGCTTTGATCATAAAAAGCACTATGCATCTGTCTCCCTTACATCTGATTACAGTATACGTACAGTATTTAATGCTAAGGTATATGATTGTATTAGGTTCAAACTGCATTGGTGCTCTACACTTTGTAGGTTCTTTATGAATGTAGATTTTGTAACCAAGTACCCTGTATAATACCAAGCAGACACCCATATAAAACTACAACTGTGATTACAATACATTATACAAGTGGAATCATTAAAAAATCTGACAAACTACACTAACACCCTTACCTCTGCCTCTGGTCGGTGCACATATTGAGAACCATTATGATAATACTTTTCAAAATAATCTTTCCTTAACAAGTCTCTGGAAGGAAGGAAAAAAAAAAGAATTAGTACAGTAATTTGTAGAACTAGTATAAGGCTGTAAAAGAAAACATCAAGGTGAGCTATATACGTGGAGAATAATATAAGGTACTGCTCACAACCTACATGTATAGACACACAAACACAATTATAATATACGTCTACATAATACTTAGGGGCACACTGAGGTAATGAAAGTGAGGGGCATCTACTAAAGGCTGACCATGAAGAAGGAATGAACCATAAGGGAGATGAACCATAAAGGAGGATGAACCATATGGGAGGATGAACCATAAGGGAGGATGAACCATAAGGGAGATGAACCATATGGGAGGATGAACCATATGGGAGGATGAACCATATGGGAGGATGAACCATAAGGGAGGATGAACCATAAGGGAGAGGAACCATAAAGGAGGATGAACCATATGGGAGGATGAACCATAAGGGAGGATGAACCATAAGGGAGATGAACCATAAGGAAGGATGAACCATAATGTGTTGTCTAATGGTAGACCCTGCTACTATATGGCATCACAAAAATTGTGACCAAGTCCCAGGTTGCTGATCTGACTTTCTGCCTCATTTACATACAATTGCAGGGTCTCAATTGTTTCTCTTACTTTGACAACACAACATACATATATTTGTTCTCACTCTTGATTTATTTTTTCGTTTTTGTATTTATTTATGGTTAGTATTATTAGTATTATTATTATTATTATTATTATTATTATTATTATTATTATTATTATTACTATTATTATTATTTTTATTATTTTGTTATTAATTTTAATTAATTATTATTATAATAATAATAAGTTGTTATTATTTTTATTACAGTTTCGCCTCCCAGGCCCTGATGTGGGTCAGTGACCTGTGTCCGGGTGGACTAATCCCCGTAAAAAAAAAAAAAAAAAATAAATAAATAATAATAAAAATAAATAAATAGTATATAAAATAAACAAATAGCGGAGGATGAACCAATAAAGAAGGGGGATTCTCAAGGTGGGAGAGGAGGATTATCTCAAGGTGGGAGGGATTATCTCATTAGGTGGGAGGAAGATTATCTCAAGGTGGAGAGGAGGATTATCTCAAGGTGGAGAGGATTAGAGGAGGATTATCTCAAGGGTGGGGAGAAGGATTATCTCAAGGTGGAGAGGAGGATTATCTCAAGGTGGGAGAGGAGGATTATCTCAAGGTGGGAGAGGAGGATTATCTCAAGGTGGGGGAGGCGGATTATCTCAAGGTGGAGAGGAGGATTATCAAGGTGGGAGAGGAGGATTATCTCAAGGTGAGGCAAGGTGGGAGGAGGATTATCTCTCAAGGTGGGGAGAGGAGGATTATCTCAAGGTGGAGAGGAGGATTATCTCAAGGTGGGGAGAGGAGGATTATCTCAAGGTGGGGGGAGGAGGATTATCTCAAGGTGGGGAGAGGAGATTATCACAAGGTGGGGAGAGGAGGAGGTGGGGGGAGGAGGATTATCTCAAGGTGGGGAGAGGAGGATTATCACAAGGTGGGGAGAGGCGGATTATCTCAAGGTGGGAGGCGGATTATCTCAAGGTGGAGGAGGATTATCTCAAGGTGGAGGAGGATTATCACAAGGTGGGGAGAGGAGGATTATCTCAAGGTGGGGAGGAGGATTATCTCAAGGTGGGAGAGGAGGATTATCTCAAGGTGGGGGAGAGGAGGATTATTTCACGGTGGGGGAGGGATTATCCAAGGTGGGGAGAGGGAGGATTATCTCAAGGTGGGAGAGGAGGATTCTCTCAAGGTGGGGAGAGGAGGAGGTGGGGAGAGGAGGATTATCTCAAGGTGGGAGAGGAGGATTATCTCAAGGTGAGAGAGGATTATCTCAAGGTGGGGAGAGGAGGATTATCTCCAAGGTAGGGAGAGGAGGATTATCTCAAGGTAGGGAGAGGAGGATTATCTCAAGGTGGAGGATTCTCAAGGTGGGGAGAGGAGGATTATTTCACGGTGGGGAGAGGGGGATTATCACAAGGTGGGGAGAGGAGGATTATCTCAAGGTGGGGAGATGAGGATTATCTCAAGGTGGGGAGAGGAGGATTATCTCAAGGTGGGGAGAGGAGGATTATCTCAAGGTGGGGAGAGGAGGATTATCTCAAGGTGGGGAGAGGATTATCTCAAGGTGGGGAGAGGAGGATTATCTCAAGGTGGGGAGATGAGGATTATCTCAAGGTGGGGAGAGGAGGATTATCTCAAGGTGGGGAGAGGAGGATTATCTCAAGGTGGGGAGAGGCGGATTATCACAAGGTGGGGAGAGGCGGATTATCACAAGGTGGGGAGAGGAGGATTATCTCAAGGTGGGGAGAGGAGAATTATCTCAAGGGAGAAAAGCAGGATTGTCTCAAAGTGGAGAAACGGTTCTTCAGCAGGTGGACTTTTTCTAGCACCTAAGCGACAACACTAAGAAGCATCAGGATTACAGGAACTTGACTGTGTTCTGAGAGCGGAAAGTAAACACTATATCATATGACTCACCTGTTTAATTGTAAATCTACTAATACGTCTTCCTCACCCATGTTGATCCCTAGAGTGATGTCGTGAACGTGACCATCCTGAAACACAACATACACACATACACATCATATTCGTGTTTACTACAACCATGACACAGATAAATAGTAATACATGTCTAAGGCAACAGATAATTGCTATGCATCAGATAAAATAATGAAGAAACAAACTGAATGAGTGTTGCTTAACTTTATCAAGATGGGAGAGTTGACAACAGGCAGGGCACACACTAAAGTGTTGTGTGGTGTGTTGACTCAGCCACGTGAGTTGTGGTGTAGCCTTGTACTACTGACTAACACTCACACCACCTACAACACCACCCTTTATATAAAAAACTAATTAGGTTGCCCCTATGCAGAGTGAGGACAGTTGAAACAATAATCTCTTTATTTCATAGCAGCTGAGAAAAAACAGAGAAAAGAACATATAAATGGGATTAGGGTTAGATGGGTCATGGTTGGTACTACTGCACAACATAGTTATCATGTGAGTCCACTTATGGTGTACTTAAACTTGTTTGTTTATACAGTATACTGTAACTCAGCAGGTAACTACTTCTCAATCACTTTGTAATGAAAACTATTATGTATGTACTCAATATAAAATTTTGTAACAGATACAACTGTTTTGGTGTTCACTCTGAAAGACAGGTGGGGGGGTTAAGGGTGTACGTGGACAAAATTATACAGTATTGATTTTTTTTATTCCTTTATTACGATTTTTTCAATAAAACTGTGTAATATTATTTTTTCTTGGTATACAGTATTCCAATCATTGCCATATACACGAGATACATGATAAGATAATTATGACTTAGTTGATCTTAAAAGTAATATAACTACAAGGTGTAAAATTTAAGCTGAATAAATTTATTTAAAAAAAAAAGTGTGGAGGCGTGAGGGTTCAGTAAAAAGCAAAAGGCGGGAGTCAGGTGAAAAACTTTGGGAACCACTGCTGAGTCTAAAATAGCCACTACGGTATTAACTAGTTAGCAATAGTCAAGATATTTTACAGTCTACGTGATGGCCACAAAACCTGTACCTCAATAAGTGTTGTTTTATATTAATTATTACAACCTTAATGGAACTATCTCCCATGCTGGACCTATCCCATAATAGAACTATCTCCCATGCTGGACCTATCCCATAATAGAACTATCTCCCATGCTGGACCTATCCCATAATAGAACTATCTCCCATGCTGGACCTATACCATAATAGAACTATCTCCCATGCTGGACCTATCCCATAATAGAACTATCTCCCATGCTGTACCTATCCCATAATAGAACTATCTCCCATGCTGGACCTATCCCATAATAGAACTATCTCCCATGCTGGACCTATCCCATAATAGAACTATCTCCCATGCTGGACCTATCCCATAATAGAACTATCTCCCATGCTGGACCTATCCCATAATAGAACTATCTCCCATGCTGGACCTATCCCATAATAGAACTATCTCCCATGCTGAACCTATCCCATAATAGAACTATCTTGGTTATTTCTGGTCATGAGGGTAACTTCAGGTGCTGCATTATTACTGTGCTGTATGTTGTTCATTGAGTTGCGTTGGTTGTGATTAGTGTTTTGTAGTGTTGTGTTTGGTGTATTTTTGTTTTTATTTTGTGTTGTATACAGGTTACGTATTGCGTTGTATTATTTACTAAATGTATTTTATTGTATATTTTACATATGCGTTGTGTTGTACTATTTATTACATGGCGTTATATATAGTTTGTTACTTGTGTCGTTTTGTATTTTGTTAAGAATTATGTTTTGCGTTATTGTAATTAATGGTGTGGGTGTGTGTGTAATACTAATAATAATTAATGGTTTATTGAAAAAGTTCTGCAGCCCGAAGGCTGAAAATATACATTATACAAAAATGACTTATTACATACAAAGACATGGGGTGGGTGGGTCGTTTAACAAAAGCTTTTATTATTGAAAGGAGAAGGAACATGAATTGAACAAACAAATTATTATAGTTACAGCTCATGGTCCGGACTGGTCTCTTGTGTGTGTGTGTGTGTGTGTGTGTGTGTGTGTGTGTGTGTCATTCTTTCTATGATGTGAATAAGTAAAATGATGACGTCAGCCACACACCTCTGAGTCAGGGTCAGGGTCAGGTGACGTTATCGCTGTCAACATATGACGTCACCACTATCAACAAGTCGGCAGCTGTCCCCGCCAGCGCCTGGGAGACTTGCTCAACATAGCCTCCTCACAACACCCTTCCAACACATTAATTATCCTCCCATCATACGTAATTAAATGATACTCACACCCTCGGACGCTATTTTTGTACACATATTCACAACTAAACACGGTGAACGTAATTAAAACAATTGACACTTGATCGTCACAGAGACAAGCTAATACCCATACATTTAATGTCAATTTATTCTGGTAAGGGAGGTTAAGTTCGGTTAGGTAAGTTCGTTGAGATTTGATTACGTTAATACTTCAAGTCAATTAGGTTAAGTTCGGTTTAATACGGCTTGGTTAGTTTAAGTTAGGTTTTAGACTGTTAGGTTTGAAGTAGGTATTACACCCCACCATAGCTTGTTTTAGGACAATGGGCAGAATTTATCACGCGCCATGTAACTTAGGAGAAGGCAGTAGTAAATTTCACGGGACTGGCGCGTTAAGATCTGGGACAGAGATAAGAGCTCCACAAAGGCTCGTAAAATCAATATTCCTGGTTAAGTGAAGATACAAGAATATACCAAACTAGTCTGCATATGCTAAAACACGAAAAACAACATACACAAACGGCATAAAAATAACACAGTCTCTTAACTAGATACGTCACCGCAGCAGCATCAGTCAGGAGGCAATATTACCAAAAGATTATCTACTCCTAATCCGTGCTTAGTGAACGTAGTAATTCATTATTGTAATGTTCGTGCAATCTGGACGCTTTTTTTAAGAGGTCGCCATCTCTGTATCGTTACTTAAATGACTTGGTTGAAGTGCTTTCTAACACCAATTACGAGAATAATTAAACCTATCTGGAGCCTAGACACATCATTAAATATAAATACCTTGGCTATCTCATTTATGTATTGTTCATATCTAAGTTAAGGCATCAACATTATACATTTTACTCTCACGACACACGGTTTACAGCACTTATATATTGTATCAGTCTGTACTTGCTTATTTTCTTCAGAATTAAGTTCCTAAATCTGTATTTTGATTTTCGTTGTGGCCGTCAGCTTGTTTTTTGTGCGTTCATTATTCATCCTGTGAACATTAGTGCAAAAAGGAGTACAGAGCAGAGGTCACAAACGGTCAGATTATTAGAGCAGTGACATCATGTGGTGGTGGTGGTGGTGTTTACTTACACATACACATGTTTGGATTAAAACATTTCTTCGTGGTGGACAATAGACTGACTTGCCTGAGACTGCACAACCAGTGTCAAAACCCACCATTTAATCTTAAGACTTGAGAGAGAGAGAGAGAGACTATGTTAACCTGAACATCACCAGCCCTGTGGACAAGAAGTTTCTTCACACACACACACACACACACACACACACACACACACACACACACACACACACACACACACACACACACACACACACACACACACACACACACACACACACACACACACACACACACAAAATATGCCTCTACGTCAACGTAAAATTTCCATTATATTGACCAAGTAACCTAGATGAGGTCACAGAAGGTCAGAGACAAGTAAGGGGAGAGGTGGTGATACTGACCTTGTTGGCAGTGGTGGTAATGTCTCGCTTGGTCCTGGCGTGGGAGAGGCGTGGGGTGATGATACTGTGAATGGTGAACTCCCGCGCCGGGCCTCCACGACCTCCTGGAAAAAAACAAAAACACGGTTAATGGGGGATAATTGGTGGTTGAAAGAGGGGGAGGGGGTACCACACCTGGCAGTGGAACAACAGGTGGAGTGATTTTAACATATATACATCGGAGGCGAGAGGAAATAATAACAAGGTTGCCACTCCTAGGGTAAACAAATCTCGATAAGGTCCAAGGCGCCTCTGAACTATAATGTATCTCTGGACCATAATGACAGAGAGTGACTATTTTCTAACTCGTCAAAGATCTTGTGATTTATACATATATCAAGTTAGATTAAAATATATCCACTTTTTTTTTCGAATTAACGTAGTCAAAACCCCCGGACGGTCGGATGGACAGACAGAATGAAAACAAACACTATTATATATTTAAGAATACAGAATTTGAGGGTCAGACATATGAAAGATTAGTTATGATAAAGATACAATATTCTGTTTAATCCTACCAAGATTACTCTACCCTAAGCCAATCCATGGAGGGCGGCAGACCTTGAAGTGTGTAATGGGTAGTGGTAGACCTTGAAGTGTGTAGTGGGTGGTAGTAGACCTTGAAGTGTGTAGTGGGTGATGATAGACCTTGAAGTGTGTAGTGGGTGGTGGTAGACCTTGAAGTGTGTAGTGGGTGGTGGTAGACCTTGAAGTGTGTAGTGGGTGATGATAGACCTTGAAGTGTGTAGTGGGTGGTGGTAGACCTTGAAGTGTGTAGTGGGTGATGATAGACCTTGAAGTGTGTAGGAAGTGTTGGTAGACCTTGTGTGTAGTGGGAGTTGGTAGACCTTGAAGTGTGTAGTGGGTGGTGCACCTGTGTAGTGGTGGTGGTAGACCTTGAAGTGGTGTGGTGGTAGACCTTGAAGTGTGTAGTGGGTGGTGGTGGGACTTGAAGTGTGTAGTGGGTGTTGGTAGACCTTGAAGTGTGTGAGTGTAGTGGTGGTGGTGGGACCTTGAAGTGTGTAGTGGGTGTTGGTAGACCTTGAAGTGTGTAGTGGGTGGTGGGAGACCTGAGGTGTGTAGTGGGTGTTGGTGTGTAGACCTTGAGAGTGTGTGTAGTGGGTGTTGGTAGACCTTGAAGTGTGTGTGAGTGGGTGGTGGTGACACCTTGAAGTGTGTAGTGGGTGTTAGTAGACAGAGGTGTGTGAGTGGGTGGTGGGAGACCTTGAAGTGTAGGTGGTGGTGGTAGACCTTGAAGTGTGTAGTGGGTGGTGGTACACACCTTGAAGTGTGAAGTAGGTGATGGTCGACCTTGAAGTGTGTAGTGGTAGTCCTCGAAATGTGAGGTGGGCGGCGGGGGGGGGGAACAGGTGGAGGAAGTGGAGGAGAGAGTCAGCTGTGGTGAGAGGAAGTTACAGCACCAAGCAGTAAACACCGACCCGGCCTGGCCCACGACGAGGTCACCCTCCATGCCCCTAAATACACACACCATTAACACACAAATAATACAAAAACCATCCCATGAAATACCCCTAAAATGGAAAAGATGTACATTAAAACCTATACGAAATGTTTCCGGATCAAGGTGACCGTAAACACACACCTATTATTTATAAGTATACAGGGCTGACCTTGGTGCCATACATGTAGGTACAAATTGTATATTGTGTACATTGAACTCGCTGGGGTCATCAAGCTTAGATACGCTAACTAGTTCACCAAGCTCTCTTAATCCAGGTCTGTAAAGTGACGGGAGTTGTTGATTTCGCTTTGCCATTAGGTTTTTACCAGTGTGTAGTAAATATTTTGTCTTAAAACGGGTTGACTGATTTCAATGAAACTTGGCAGTAAAACCTGACGAGTATGCAGTCTAAATAGTAAATTGAACTCGCCTAAGAGGAGCGTCTTTATCTGGCTCCCCCCAACCATGACATCTTTCCTGCAGACGGATTTCTTGTTATACATTCTACCCAGTTTTTACTGTCAATGTAGTTTATTTTCACTATTGTACGGAGGCTTTGAGCTATTTTTTTTCTATTGTCGCAAAAAGACATGTGAACAATAAAACTTTTCTTATGAGAATGTGTCAGTTAAGTTTCGACTCGGATAACAAGCCAACACAAATTTAATTCGCTCCCAGAACTACCAAATAGGCTTTTATTCTCCTCTCATCCAATCAGGTTACAGTGGAGACCGGAGGCAGGATACACAGCCTCATTACAAAGCTGTGTCGGGAACATTTTGCGACTTCAAAAAGAGACAATAGCAGGGACCGGGACCAAGTAAACAAACCCGCCTGCCGCGTGGCTCTACAGATGCACCAACAAGAAGAGTGTTCTGAAAGCGTTGTGTATTGCGTGTAAACTCCACTACATTTCCATATAAATTGCCTGCCAAGTTTTCTTAAGGAGAGAGAGTGGGAATGATCAAAGCAGCAGTTCTCATTAATTCATTAAGACTTAAATTGAAACATTAGCATATAATTCTGCAAAAATTGGTTTCTACTGATGATGGTAGTTAGCTCCCATGGGTGTAACAGTGCGTCCTACAAACGATCAATACCTACAATAATTGCAAGGTAACACTGAGTTCTATTCTTTATTGCCTACTGTGAAAAAAGTACGGATACACCACACTGCATAGTAAGCCTTCGGTACACAAGGAGGCAGCACGGCCGGTACTACTCACGACCGCCTTAACTTCCCCAAGTTACTGTAAACTTAGGGACCCATTTACAGCTGGGTGAACTGGGAGCGGCCGGGAATCGAACCACCGACCCCCAGAACTGGAGGCGAGCACTGCATCCACTTGACCGCCGCACTCACCATTGCCTAGTGGCAAACAAATTTTTTTTTAGTATTTTACTGTGCCAATACAGTATATCAGCTCTGCAAATATATTAATGCAATAAGAGAAACAACAACATTGTTAATACTACTTATAATAATAATAATAATAATAATAATAATAATAATAATAATAATAATAATAATAATAATAATAGTTATACCTCGGCATAATTTGGTATTATTTTTTTTTTTTTGTAATCTAGGTGTTTTGATTATTTTCTGCTCCAAGCAGCAGTTATTTTGGCATGTTTAGGGAGATTTTCTTGTATATATTGATGTATTACCTATGTAAGAATTTTCTAGAATATATTGCATCATTTTTGTTTTTATTTACTTCTTATTGTAAGACTCGATCAGAGTAGAACTTTCTAGAACTTCTCAGGCGTCTCTAGGAAGCGAGCAGAGTCAAGTCCAAGCCTAGTACTGTAGTGGCAACTGAAGATATCGGACGAGTTGTCGGTTCTGAGTAAACACAATAAATACACTGAGACGTTCGTCGAGTTGTACGGTATATATGATTTGTAATAAAATGACGTTACCGCCTTACCCCCGCAGACGACGTTCTCCAACAAAATCACCGCTGCAGTCTTTTTTTTTTTTTTTTTACGGGAATTAGCCCACCCGGGCACAGGTCAAACGACCCACAACGGGGCCTGGGGTGCGAAAAAAAAGAACAAAGAAATTAAAAATAGAGAACAAAAAGGTTATATTGTGTTCATCTATACCACGAAGATGCCCGAAAACCAGCTTTTTAAAGTGAGACAGATTGTATAAGTATGGAAACAGAAGAAGCAGAGCATTCCACAGTTTGGCTGTGTGAGGAAAGAAGGTACTATAACGGGTTATTCTCGTGTGACCGACATCCACAGAGAAACGGTGGGCACCGCGGGCAAGACGTGTGTTACGAGCCCACGGCCTTGCCGGCGGTACACAGGATACCAAATCCAACGAACATTTCCCGTTAAAGTACCTGTAAAAGAGAGAGTGAAGCAACATTGCGGCGTAGAGAAAGGGAAGAGAGATTGTCGACTAAAGGAGGAGAGTTAATAAGACGAAATGCCTTTGATTCCACCCTATCTAACAGGTGGACAGAAGAGCCACCTCACATATGAAAGCAAATTCCAAATTAGGACGAATGAATCCCATATATATACTTGAAGCAACTGCTCAGGCGTGAAGTAGCAACGGCATTTTTACAGCATTCCCAGCTTTCGGGAGGCAGCTTTAGCAATGTTGAGGAAACGGTGAGGCCTAGCATACTTATTTTAGAATTTGGCAGAATAATTGCATCATGAAATGTGATTGCTGGGAGATACAGTAAAACACAATTAATTATCGAATAATATTTATTTACAGAGCCGATCAGCCGAGGTTAGAAAACAAGGCAGATGAAAGAAATTTACCAAAAGTAGATGTCTTTATGATTGTAGAGTATTATAAAGAACTCCGCCATCCAGCTATGAAGTACGTTAAATTACATCAACCATCTGATCATCTCAAGCCCATTCCCTGGTCATGGTCGTCCCTCGTCCTTCCACAACATTAAATATAGACATCAGTGATGAAAACTTGCATTTTCCAGACATGAAATAGAGAAGTTATGAAAACTTCCTTGTTGGGGTTATCGGTCTTTTTCATTATTTTGGCACCCAGCAAGTATATACACGATGATACTTGAGCAGTAATTTATTTTAACCTAAAAATAAGGTATGCCTGTGTATATTGTTACGAACCATGCCACCAATTGTCATGATCTACCTACCCAGCACCACGAGCAACGCCATGTAGGGACGAAACCCGAGTATGACTACTCTTAGTTACCACTCCGGGGTTTCCCTTCTCCATATCCTGGTTGTTGCGTCACCTCCTCAAAGTCTTCTTCGTCAGCTCCAGTTCGATGAGAGTTCAGTTCACTCTGGGAAGTGACCACAGGATCACCTATCCTGGAAACCTACGGCACAGTAACTACCTACAGTGTTCTACAATGCTCAGCCATCTCAGCTCCGCACTTAAGTATTTGTAATCTTATGTTACCTCCCACCTCCACCTTGCTTCAAATTATTGTATGTTGTATAAATATGTATATACTGTTAATGTTTAAGTTAAGTATGGTTAAGGGTAAATTATAGAAAGCTGAATATTTTGTTAAGGAATTTATGGTACTTTATTATACACAACAAAAACTCCCATCCTTTGTCTACCCTTTTATAGCCCGA